GCGCGGGAAGGTGACATGGGGAGAGACTCCAAGATGCGCAGGCTCGTGTGAGGGCCCCGCCTCCCACTTGGCCTGGACACGCAGCTTTTACCTCACTTTGCACTGATTAGTTTTAAGCAATTGAAAGATAATACCGTGAAATGGCTCTGGTTTCTTTTTGTAACTGGCGGTGAAAGGAACAGCTTGTTCCTGTGTCTTAGAAGACGGCCTCGGGTTTGGGGTGCCACGGGCGAGGGACCAGCAAGCATCAGAGCCTCTGTTCTGAGCTGCCTGGAGCTCCCCTTATCGGCCTCTGCACACTGTGCTGCCCCAGGGCTCCCCGAGACCTCAGCCCAGGGCTTCCCACCTCTGCTGGGGGCCTGCAGCGGATGCCTGTGCTGTCTCTGGCCCCCAGTCTTCCCACCACACCGTGGCTGCAGAGAACCAGCCCTTGCTCCAGTCAGGGCCGCTGGTGCACCCCACCAGCCCCCCACCTGGACAGGCAGAGGCGACTGGCCACACAGACCCCATTCTGTGGAGTCTTGCTCTGGGCCTGAGAACTCACCGGAGGCTGGATCACATACAGCCGCCTTTCTCTTTGCCTGCCCTCACTCTGCCCTCACTTCCTGCACCGGCTCAGAGCCAACCCCAGAGCTGCCTGCGTGCTGCTGCCTGCTTCTCTTAGGCCAGGTCCAGCTCTGAGATCCGGCTGCTCAGCCTCGTCTTGCAGACACAGGCCCTGAAACCTGGGTGGGACAAGGGACCTGGGGCTCTCGCGTCCAGGCTGCACGGTCCAGTCCTTGGATTTCAGAGGGCTCAGGACAGGTCGCCATGCTAAGGCACCATGGGATCCCAGGGTTCTGCCTCAGTCCTGCAGCCACAGGCAGGCTATTGGGCCCAAGTGTGTCCCTGCATACGGCGAGCACAGCAGGTGTGTTCCCTCGGTGCGAGGCCCGATCCTTGGTGGAACAGGGCCCGAAAACCAGTTTAGACTTCCCGGGAGACTGCATCCACACACCTATAGCCCCCATGAGCCAGCTTTCGCCAAGGGTGGGTTACAGTGCGGGTGGGGAACTGTGCCTGCTGTGGCCCCTTTTCCTCCATCCTGCCCAGAGGAAGAGCTCAGGGACCTAGCCCCTCCAGGTCAGGTGGCAGCTTCCCCGCCTGCTTGGGGGTGCAGGCAAGAGCTTGGCCACAGGTCCACGGTCACATGTCACGTCTCGGGCTGGACCCGGAGCCCACTGACTGCCTCACACAAAGGTTCCCAGCCTCCAAGTGTCCACAGCCCTGGGGATCAAGGTGACTCTGGGCCTCACCCCAAGCATTTATTAACCTCTTGCTACGCACAGCCCAGCCAGGCGAGAAGGCAGGAACCGGCTCCGGCCTGGCCCTGGAAACGGGTGCCGATGCCACGCTCGGACGGCAGTGGGGTCTGGAGCAGGAGGAGGCGGCCTCGCCGAAGGGCCAGGAGCCTTCAAGGGTCATTAGCTTGCTTAATGGTGGTGCAGCGGGCAGCTCAGCTTCCCTCTGAGACACCAGAGGAGGCTGAAGTCACTGAGGTGCGCTGGCTCCTCCTCCAGGGCAGCCGGCATGGTCCGCTTCCCCACCAGGAGTACAGGATGCGAGGTCAGGGAGCAGGGGAGGGGCTGAGGTGCCCTGGTGCGAGCACAAAGCCTCCGCCCCAGGCCCCGCTGCAGGCTCAGGGCTTGGCCGGGTGCTGGGGATGGGGTGAGCCAATGGCCTTGCTTTCCCCAGGGCCAAAGGGCATTAGGATGCTAGGATTGCCTCCCCTGGCCCCGCTGCAGCCCCAGAGTCAGGGTCGAGGAGTGGCCGGCGGCGGGAGGCAGGGGGGCGCTCTCGGGTCCACCTGATCATGGTTTCCGGCGAGCGGTACAGGAAGACGAGCTTGGCAAAGAGCTGCTGCTCCAGCTCGAAGGCGCCCAGCTCGCGGACCAGGAAGATGCTGGAGCAGAGCCGGAGCAGGCGGTCCACGCAGGGCAGCTCCTCCTGCATGAGCGAGCGCGAGGCGCCCAGGAAGTGCTCCCGGATGAACTTGGCTGCCACCAACACCACTGACACGTACAGCCCCACGATGCTGGGGAAGGGGAAGTCAGGGTGCTCAGGACAACCGGCTGAATCCCAGCGCCCCCTGGGGTGAGGGTGGGGAGGCCAAGCCCGGAGCAGAGTGATGGTACCCGAAGACAGGACCGGGGGCAGGGACACACATGTCTCTGGGGACAGAGATTCCATGCTGGGAGCTGGCAGGGTCCTCAGGGCTCAGGGAGCAGGTGGGGAAAAGGGAGCCAGCTCTGACCTCCATGGACGGGTGAGGCCAGCGGCTGAAGGGACATAGGGACCCACGAGCTCAGGGGTGAGCCTCACCCATATCCTGCCAGGAAGTTCAGGCTCTGTGGGCTGACTTTGTCGTTGTAGATCACCAGCTCCAGGTCGCGGCCACAGCCCCGGTTCTGGTCACAGGCCGGCCGCCACTCCTGCACCATCCACCACTCTGCTGCTGGGTGGCCCTCGCCCTCGCTCTCGGGGACGTCCATGGGCCTGAGCCGCTGCAGCCGGACCGTGGCATTGCGGAAGAAGGCCAGCTGGTCTACCTCCTGCGGCCGGTGGGAGTGGGCTGCAAGAACAGGTGCGGTCAGCGGGGCCTGAGGCCCAGGTGGGTCCCCCCAACAGAGCACGGCTCTTCCCACAGGCCAGTCCTGTCAGCAAGGCGAGGTCCCACTCCAGGGACGTGCCCAAATGGCCTGCCACCATGCAGCCCCAAAGACCGGGCCACCAAGGTGACCAGCCACGCCAGGACAGCTGTCGCTAACAGGCCCTGGTGGGTGTGTGGGGACGCAACTGATGGTCACCTGGCTCTCACCGTGCCCAGGAGGCCACTAGAGCCCACGAGGTGGGGCTGAGTGCAGTCCCTGGACCCAGCTCGTGGTGAGCCAAGGAGACCCTGGGCTCACGGCCCACCCGCACACCGGCTGCAGCTCACCGCCCCTGCGCCTGGACGTCCACCAGCCACCTAGTTCCCGACCTCGCTCTCCATGAGGGGGGGACGCCAGCCGAGAGCCTGTCCCGAACATGCGTGACCATGGCACGCATGTGCGTGTGCTGTGCCCACACAGTGCCCGCTGTGACGGACGTGGGTGGAGGGTGCTCTAGCCCCTCCCATGCCACTAAGGTGCCCGCTGGTGTCACTCCACCCCTCTGCGCAACCCGAAGAGATTCAGTGTGGGTCCTGATGGCCCATTTGGTCCCCTTAGGGAACCCCACCCACCCGCTCGCAGTTTCCTCAAAGTGGGGCTCACGTGACACTGGGGCTCCTCTCACCCCAGGGAGCCTTGCCCCTACACAGCAGGTCTGAGGCATCCAAGGCAGGGTCCCCCTGCAAGCACCTCCCGATGGCCTGGCATTTGAGGACTGTCTGGAAGAGCTTGCCACGCTGGCTGGCGTCCCCAAAAGCCTCTGCTCCCAGGCTCGCCTGCCCTGGAGTCCCCGGCAGAACCCCGCCTCCTGCTACGTTTGCCGAGTTTGCCCGCTGGGTTCTCTGTCCAGAGCCGCCCTAGACCCTGTTCCTCGGCGAATTAGTCTTCAGTATCTGTGTTTGTTCTTTAACAAAAGGTTGTTTTGGTTTGAGATTTGGCAAAAACAAAACACACTGCATTCAGCTTCCTCCCCGTTCAGGATTCAGTAAATTAGTTCTTTTCGAGTCTGCTGCGAGTCCTTGCCTCAAATGAGCCTCCAACAAGAAAAGGCACTTAAAAGCCCTTGGAATGGTGCCAGGCCCCACGCACACAGACATACGATATTGTCGTGGCGTGTGCTCAGTCAGCTGGCCGTGGCCCTCGGCTCCACCCCGCCCCACACTGAGCTCAGCTCCTGGGGAACACGACCCCACGGACACACCCTTCAGTGCCAGGCTGGTTCCCAAAGCACAGGACTGGTCCTCCATATACACATAGCAGGGAGTTTCTCTCCCCTCGCATAGGGGAGTCTGGCCAGACGGGGGTGGGGAGAAGCAACGTAGCAGATGAGAAGCCGGCTCCCCCAAGGGATGTGACAGTCCTCACCCACATCCAGCCGGTGGGCCATTTTCGCTTCGGTCCCCGCAGTAGTTCTGAGGGCTTTGGGGATCAGTCCAGGGAGCATTCTACAGTCAGGAAAAGAAAACAAAACCCACTAGCCCAGAAGCCAACGCACACTCACTAGGAGTTTAGTTAGAGTCAAGGCAACCTCCAGAGGAGACCGCCCCCTTGGCTGCCTGAGATCTGGCCTCGTGCCCTCTTCCCCATCTTCATCAGCGGTCCCCACTAATGCATAACCACGGCCTCCTCTGAGTGCCCAAAATGCTCCCTTCCTTCTACCAAGTTGGCTGAATTTCTTTGGCATCCATGACCCCAGCGTGGTGATGACCTGAAGCTGCTCCCTCAGCCAATGGTATTTATCCTGCGCACCCTCATGCAACCTCTGAAAAGCGGATTGCTTTTGTATGAGTGTCTTCCCAGCATGCACCTGTAGGACCCAGCCTCCAGAGGACCTGCAGGTGCTGGCGTTCCCGGCAATCACTCCGGAGCTCCTGCTCCCTGGGCAGGCTGCCCTGCAGGTGCTCTGTCTCCTGCCGGTCCGCAGGCATACGAGCAAGGTCATGTGGTCACACGGCAAGTTTACAGTTTGTGCGTGAGGGTGTGGGGCCTTCAAATGCTCAGGCCCATTCGTATGTATTTCTGTCTTCTTGAGCCCTCTGATTTTTGGAGACCCTCCCCACATCCCAGGCTGGCGTCAGGGAACTGGAGATTATTAGCAGGTGTGTGTATGTTGGTTGGTGATGGAGGGAGAGGCGTCAATACATGGACAAAGCTGTGAGAGGCCATCAGAGACACGTGGCCAGTCCTAAAGGGCTCGTCGCTGGTCAGATACTCCGGGGAGCTTCGTGTGTGGCCCCAGCTCTGGGCCTCAACCTTCCCATCTTTAAAATGGATGGGCTCTCCAAATGGCTGGGTTTGGCAGTGATTTCTTGAATACTACACCAAAGGCACACAGACGACAAAATTTTAAAACACGCACACTAGACTTTCTGGAAACAAAAAATTTGTATTTCTAAAGCTACTATTGGTCAGCTTATAACACAGATGTTAAGGGGTTGGGATCCCACATGGCCAACTGCAGGTTGGATACGAACTCTGGTGGCTTGAAAAAAACATGCTGGTGTTCATGTATAAGTGTGCCCCAAACCCTGACCAGATGGAGAAGTGGAAGGAAAAGGGTCATGGCATGATCACTCCACGGCCACTTCCCATTGGGGAATGCTTACTTCCTCTCTCTGGAAATAAAGGAGAAAAAAAATTTTTTAAAAATTATCTGGACCTGGGAACCAGCAGTTAGCGTAATGGCTATGTCGCTGGACTCCCACATAGTTGACCGCGGTTCGCGTCCTGGACCCAGTGGCTTAAAACTCACGCCGGGCGTGTGTGCGTGCCCAAGATCCCGAGAGGAGAATGGAGGAGAAGGGATTGCGGCGTGACCATCCCCTCTGGGGGGTGATTTCTCGCTTTCTGTCTCTCTGTCTCTCTCTGTCTGTCTGGCGAGCGCACGCGCCCTATAGCGAAAACCTCACACACACAAAAAAATTATCTGGACCTACATGTGATATGGTGGTTGGGACATGCCAGGCTCCCTGGTAGCTCATTTTCTCACTTTCCCTCTCTCTCTTTGGTCAAATTTAAAAACAATTATAATAATGATATATAAAATTAAATAAAAAATTAATATAAAAAGAACAAAAAATTTTTCAACGGAGCAAAAAGGCAACCCACAGAATGTGACAAAACATTTGCAAAACATGTATCTGATAAAAATTGGATATATACATTCCTAAAACAAAATAATAATAAAAAAGCAACCTAATTCAAGAATAGGCAAAAAACTCAAATAAACATTTCTCCAAAAATTACAGAAATGCCCAATAAGCACACCAGCCATATTAATCATTAGAAAAATGCAAATCAGAACTACAATGAGCCATCTCAGCTCACAGCTATTAGGAAGGCTACCTGACAAGAAAAAAAAAGGGCAGGATACAGAATACAGGTGCTGGCTGGTGCGGTGGTTAATTACTCGATCCCACATGGCTGAGTGTGCAGTTTGAGTCCTAGACTCAGAGGCTTGAAAACCACAACGCGCGCGCGCGTGTGTGTGTGTGTGTGTGCACGCCCTCAAAAATCTCAAGAAGAGAATTGAGGAGAAGGGATTGCAGCATAGCCATCCCTCCTGAGGGGTGCTTTTTCATTTTCTCTCTCTCTGTGTCTTTTCCTGGCAAATACATGCACCTTATAGCAAAAAAAAAAAAAAAAAAAAAAAAAAAAAAAGGGCGAGGATTTGGAGAAATGAGGGACCCTTGAAAACTGCTGGTGGGAAAGTGAAACAGCGCAGCCACTGTGGAAAACAAGATGGCAGTTTCTCAACAAATTTAAAATAAAATTGCCATGTGATCCAGCAATTCACTTCTGGGAATATACCGAAAAGGACAGAAAGCCGAATCTTGCATACTCATATTCACGGCAACATCATACACAATAGAGAAACTATAGAAGCAACCCAAGTCTCCATAGACAGATAAACGTGCAAATAAGATATGAAAAATGAATACCACGTTTGTCTTTCAGCACCAAAAAGGAAGGAAATCTCAACACACGCTACAGCGTGGCTGAACCCTGAGGACATCGTGCCAAGTGAAAAAGCCAGTCAGCAGAGGGCGAATGCGCTGAGCCCCCCCGCCCCCCGCCCCGTCGAGGCAGGGAGAGGAGGCTGGTTCAAAACTAGGGAAGGTAGAATGGAGGTTGCAGAGACTGGGGAAGGAGTGAGGAGATGCTGTTTAATGGGGACAGGGTCATTTTTGCAAGATTTTGAAGAGAGGCCTGGAGAGGGATGGTGGTGGTCACACGGCACTGCGGGAGTCCTGGACGCAGAGCTCTCCAGCCCTGCCTGGTTGACACAGTAGCCTCCGAGTTTGGCATTGCACCCTAAACAGTCAGCAGTTTGGAAAATGGATGTGCCCTGGACCCGGCGGCCTCCCGTGAGGCCTCCCGTGAGGCTGCCGGGTGCGGAACCCAGGGGACAGGCAAATACAAGCTTGAACCCCTGACTCAGCCGCTCCTGTACTCTGAGGCCTGAAGTCCATTATCAAGTGGCCTCGCCTGGGGGAGCAGGCGGCCCACAGATCTGAGAAAGTGCCACCTCCCGGGAGTGACACCCTCTGGTCACGCACTCAAGCCCCGCCCGGCAGCTGTCCAGGCAAGGCCCCGCCATCGTGGGAGCAGGGAGACTTACACGGGCTCTGCCCTGGCGCGGGTGAGCATGTGCACCAGCCGCTCACGGGTGCCCGCGTCCGTGTAGTACACCGTGTGCTGGCCGGCCGCTTCCACGTTGGTGACCAGAGACACGTTCCTGAAGGAAAGGGAGAGCAGAGCGCGGTGAGGAGCAGAGTGCCCGCTCGGAGCGCAGGGCCAGGCCTTCCCGCTCGGCCCTACGTCCCACCCTCGCTGGCCGGGAACTCCACACAGGGGTGATGGCATGGCCAACCCCGCCGGGGTCCTTTCTCACTTTCCCTCCCTCTCTCTGACGCTCCAGGGAGCACATGTGTCTTACAACAAAAATGCTATCTTCCCCACCAAAGAACGAGCTGAGAGACGGTGACCTGAAATAAGGGCTGTCCTAGACAGGCCTACTAGCAGGGGGAGATGACGGTGAGCGTGAACACAGGAGCAGAGAAGGTCTGCGGCGAAGAGCTGAGAAAAAAGGGTTTCAATAAATGACTGCCTTGGAGATTTCTGGGACAATATTGAGATTTCTATCATTCTTACCGCGGAAATCCATAAAGAGAAGAGAGATTGAGGGAGAACCCTTTTCTTTTCTTCCCTTTCTTTGTTTTCTTTTCTTTTTTTTTAGGTTTTTGCCATAGGACACATGTGCTCGCCAGAGAGACCCAGAAAGTGGGAAGCCACCCCTGGGGGCCAGCCAAGCCACAACCATGCCTCCTCCATTCTCTTCTCGGGACCTTGAATGTGCACGTGTGCCCAGAGTCACTTTCTTCTTCCCCTTTTTCTAATCCTTTCTTATGCTAATTCTTTAGTCTTCTGCCCCTACACAGGCCAGGGGCATGGCAGGGAGACGTCGGCCTCAGAGGTGCTCTGCCCAGTTCAGGGCCAGCGTGAGGGCTGAGCAGGCCTGAGCTGCACTCCTGTTCCAACCTCACCTCCCCGGCCTATATCCCACTTAGTGTGGTCTTCAAGCCACTGGGTCCAGAACTTGAACCACAGTCGGCTATGTGGGATCCAGCACCTTAACTACCATGCCATCTGCTGGCCCTGAAATTTTATTTTCAAAGAGTAATGACTTAACCTTTCCAAATAAGGTAAACGATATAAATTTACAGGCTCAAGAAGCTCAGAGATCCTAGCGAGAATAAAGTCAAAGAAACTCATACAGAGAAACACAGTAATCACACAACTAAATGCCAGAGATAAAGCAGATCTTTAAAATGGTCAGAGGAAAAAAATACATTACATTGCAGGGAACAGAGAAGACAGATTTCTTATCAGAAACAATGGTTGTCAGGGTGAGGAAACAGTATCTTTTGAAATATGAAACAAGGGCTGGACCCCTGCACGGTGGTTAGGCACTACTCAGAGGAAGCAGCTCCCACACAGTCAACGAGAGTTCGAGTCCCAGCCCTGACAGCTTGAGAAACTCATCAGGGTGTGGGTGTGCATGCACGGGATCTTACCAGATGAAGAATTGAAGGGAAGAAGAATTGTGGCATGACCTAGCCCCACGTGGCATGCTCTCTCGCTCTCTCTCTCATGCATGTGCCCTCTGGCATTAAAGAGAGAGAGAAGAACAAAAGTGAAATGAAAGAACAGTTGCCTCAGAATTCCATGTCCAGCAGAAATATCTTTCAATAGTAAAGGCAGAATAAGACACAGAAGAAGAAAATAATTAAAAAGATTCATCATTAAGAGACGTATTCTAAAAGAAATAGGAAAGGGTACCAGAATAAAAGATGAAAGCGAAAAGACACCAGAATGAAAGTTTGAACGTCGGGAATGAAGAAAGAACAACAGAAAAGGTAAACGTTGAAGTGAATATAATGGACTATTTTCTTCTCTTCAGTACTTCAAAATACCTGTGAACATAAAGGAACATTGTAATACGGCCCGTGGAGACTCAATGTATATAACTGCAATATACATGACAATTAGAACACGGAGAAGGGAAAGGTGTAAGGTAAGCACGGCAAAGACAAGGCGAAGTTCATTACATGACTGTCTACAGTTAGCATACGATGGTAGAATATTAACTCGAAGTAATTATAAATCTATAATTTATTACTTATGTATATGATCCTCAAAGAACAACTAAAAAGTCATACAAAGAGACAGAGCAAAAAAAATAGGTAAGATAAATGGAATACTAAAAAATATTCAAGTAATTCAAAAGAAGGCAGAAAAGAGAGCAGAGAAAGACTGAGAAAAGGAAGTAATAACCGGGCAGACCTCAATCTAACCGCACCAACAATCACGCTAAATCTAACTGATCTGAGGGTAGCAATTCAAACTGAAGATTGCTTCGCCAGTGGTGGCATGGTGATTAAAGAGCCTGGCTCCTACGTGGCCAACTGTGTAGTTCCAGACCCAGACCTGGTGGCTTGAAAAACACACCTGGCGCTGTGCGTGTGTGCATGCCCAAAGCTCTGAGAGGAGACTGGAGAAGGCACGGCCGTGTGACTCCGCCCCCGAAGGGTGTTTCTCACTTTTTCTCTCTCTTTATCTTCCTGGAGAGTGTTATGTGCCCTTTAGCAAATTAAAAACAAAATGAACAAAACAAAACAAAACAGAGACTGCCACATCGGATTGAAAAAAGCAAACAGAACCCAATTAGAGTCTAACTGTGTAATTATAATTGTGCAATTGTGTAGATTCGGGGTGAGCAAACTATGGCTCACAGACCGGATCCTGCCCAGGAACTGGTTTAAAGAGTGGTTTTTACATCTTTTGAGGGTAGGGAGGAAGAGGAGACAGAGAGCGTGTGGCCCACAGAACCTGAACATCTACTCGCTGGCCCTTCATAGGCCAAGTCTGCCAGCCCCTAGTATTAATGGATTAAAAAGGAAAGGATGGAAAAAAGATACATAAAGCAAACACTAAGCAAAGTAAAGAAGCAGTGGCTATATTAGTCTCTGAAAAGGAAGACTTCAGAGCAAAGAAAATGACCAGGTACAAACAGGGCCATTGCATAATAAAAGAATCGATTCACCAAGATGACTTACCAGTCCTAAATGTGCATTCCTCCATGACAGAGTTCCAAACTAAACAAGACAAAACTCAGAACTGAAAGGAGAAAGTCACCATTGTATTTGGAGACTCCCTCACTTCTTTCTAAGTAACCAACGGAATGAGTAGATAGAAAACCAACAAGGATGTAGGAGACCTGAATAATGCCATTAACTTGACCTGGCTGACATTTAGCAACCATTCCAGCCAACAGGAACAGGATACCTATTCAAGTGCAAACGGCACATTCACCAAAATAGATCATATTCTGAGCCCTTAGGAAATTAAGAACCTTAGGGCCAACATGTGGTGTGGTGGTTAAGGCACTGGACGCCCATATGACCAACTTCAGTTCGAGTCCCAGACTGGGCGGCTTGATAATTACGCCAGGCACATGTGCATCCCACAGGACCCACCTTTTAGTAACATGAAGGTAGTAAGTTTGGTTTTGTTTGTTTGTTTGTTTTTAGGTTTTTGCTATAGAGTGGTATGCTCACCAGAGAGAGACAGAGAGTTAAAGAGGGAAAGTGGGAAATCACCTCCCCAGGGGAATGGCCATGCCACAATCTCGTCTCCATTCAACTACACCTGTGCCTGGCGTGATTGTCAAGAAGCCAGTCTGGGGCTCTAACCGCAACTGGCCCGGTAGGAGTCCAGCGCTTTAACCACTATGCCACCTGCTGGCTCCTAAGTTTCCTCTTAGTGCCTTTGCAATATAACCAAGTTCCTACACATGAATTTTAGGAGACATAAACCATAGTGGTATTAAATGGCACTGAACTGTACACTCAAAAAGACAGTAAATTTTATATGTGACATTTTAGTCTTCTATATTTGAAAAAGTCATGTCCAAATGGAAAGGCAAGAGCTGAAATGAAATGAAAAAATTCACTGAATGGACTTAATGACATAGCAGGAACAGCAAAAAAAAAAGGGCCAGTAGACTCAGAGAGATACCCTAACACTGAGAAAAGGAAATTGAAAAAAAATGAAGAGAGCCTCAAGGACCCCTGAAACAATATCAGTCACCCTAACATATATATGTAATTAGAGAGAGAGAATGGAACAGAAAAAACTATTCAAAGAGAAATAACTAGAAATTACCCAGATATGGTGAAAAATACCAACCTAGAGAGCCAAAATAACCAGCAAAACCACAAGCAGGATAAATATAAAGAATACTATAAAGGGACCAGCAGTTAGCATAATGGCTATGTTGCTGGACTCCCACGTAGTCGACCGAGGGTCAAGTCCCGGAGCCGGTGGCTTAAACTCACGCTGGGCACATGTGTGTGAGTGCCCAAGATCCCGAGAGGAGAATGGAGGAGAAGGGATTGCGGCGGGGCCATCCCCCCCGGAGGGAGATTTCTCGCTTTCTGTCTCTCTGTCTCTCTCTGTCTGTCTGGCGAGCGCATGTGCCCTATAGCAAAAACCTCTCAAAAAAAAAAAAAAAAAAAAAAAGAAAAGAAAAGAAAAAAGACAAAAAGAGAATACTATAAATGCAGAATCATAATCATATTGCTGAATACTTAAGATAGAGAAAGTCTTCAAAACAGCCAGAGAGAAACAACCTATTACAATCAGGGGATCAGCAGGACAAATGACACCAACTTCTCAATGGGAACAATGAAGACCAGGAAACAGGAGAAAGGTATCTTTAAAGTTTTGCATGGGGGAAAACCTCCAACTAGCCCAACTCAGAATTCTATAACCAGCAAAAATATCCTTCAGAAATGAGGATGATCTTTTCAAACAGTGACATTTTCAAATACCAGAAACAAGCAATCAAACAGAAGTGAGAGAATTTATTACTAGCTGAACTGCACTACGAGGCACCCTAAAGGACGTTCTGGCTTGAGGTAAATGACAGTTGATGAATCTCAGATCTAAATAAAGAAATAAATACCTACTAAAGTGGGAAATTCATGGGAAATTTTAAATACCTTTTTCTTTTAATTTCTTTACAAGACAACTGGCTGCTTAATTAAACATCAGGACATTGTACTGGGGTATATGACATGTGCATGTGTAAACATTTAACAACAGAACAAAGAGCAGTATAACTCACAAATTCTCACCACCTTGGCTTTGCTAAATTCTGAGCCCTGTTCAATTCATGGAGACCACTGGACCTTGCATTCTCACTCCCTGTGCTGTGGCTTAGAAACTCTCGCCAGGTACAAGAAGAAAAGAAAACAAAAACAAAAACAAAAAACCAGCTGGGGATATTAGTTTTTTAATCTTAGTCATTTTGACTGGGGTGAAATGGTAGCTCACTGTGGTTTTGATTTACATTTCCCTCATGATAAGAGTTGTTGAGCATTGTTTCATATGCCTTTTGGCTGTTTGTTTATCTTTCTTAGAGAGTTGTCTGTTCAAGTCATTTGCCCATCTTTTGATTGGATTTTATTTATTTATTTATTTATTTGTTTGTTTATTTATTTATATGTTCTGGATAAGCTACTTGAGTTCCCTGTATTTTCTGGTTGTCAACCCCTTATCTGAGGCATAGTCTGCAAATATTTTCTCCCATTCTGAGGGTTGTCTCTTCACTCTAGGTATTGTTTCTTTAGCCATGCAGAAGCTTTTTAGCCTAATGTAGTCCTACTTGTCTCTTTTTGGGGTTATTGCCTATGCTTTGGGGTGTCTTATTTTAAAAGTTTTTGCCTACTCTGAAGTCTCGAAGAGTTTCCTCCATATTTTCCACCAGTAGTTTTATAGTTTGAAATTTTATGTTTAGATCCTTGATCCATTTCAAGTTGGTTTTTGTTAAAGGTGAGAGATAGGGATACAGTTTCATTTTTCTACAGGTTGATATCCAGTTTTTCCAGCACCATTTGCTGAAGAGATTTTCTTTTCCCCACTGGGTTATCTTGTACTCTGTTGAAAATCAGTTGACTGTATGTTTCAGGGTTTATTTCTGGGTTCCTAATTCTGTTTCATTAGTCTGCCTGCCTGTTTTTGTGCCAATACCATGCTGCTTTCTCATCATGAGTATATATAATTAATAAAGCTTAGTTCTTGAGAATATCAATAAAATTGATAAACATCTGACCACATCAATTAGGGAGAAAAAAAGAAAGAAGTTATAAATGATCAACATCAGAATTAAAAAGGAGACATCAATACAGATCCTACAGAGGTGAAAAGACTAAGTGAATATTATAAACAACTCTGTCAATAAATTCAGCAATAGAAATAAAATGCACAAATTCTTTCAAAGATAAACTATAGAAATGAACTCACAATTAAATATACAGCCTGAATGTCTTACAGCTATTAAAGACATTGAATTTGTAGCTTAAGACCTTCTCACAAAGAACTCCATGCCCAGAGGTTTTGCTGGTAAATTTAACCAAACATTTAGTAAAAAAAATAATACTGATGTCATGTAAAACTCTTCCAGAAAACAAACAAAAGAGAGAGAGAGAGAGAGAGAGAGAAAGAGAGAAAGTATACCTCCAAATTCATTCTACAAAGCCAGTGGTACTCTGATACCAAAGCCAGAAAAACACAGCGCAAGAGCAGAAAATAAACACTAGTACAAAAATCCTCAACAAAATACTTGCAAATGGCTAATATATATAAATTTATATGTATGTGTGTGTGTGTGTGTGTGTGTGTCTGTGTGTATAAATGTGTATACAGTCATGTGCTTCATAATGACATTTGGTCAACAACAAAATGCATTATAATTCGGTAAGATTATAATAGAGCTGAAAAATTCTCGTTGCTTGGTGACATAGTTGTCATAATGTCCTATCCCAATGCATCACTCACATGTCTGTGACAATGAGAATATAGCTCAAACAATTATAGAAAGTAAGTACCAAGAACACAATACTTGATCAGGATAAATGACTATGTTACTGGTATATGTATTATTAGACTGTACTTTTTGTCATTATTTTAAAGTATGCTCCTACTTATAAAAAAAATACTTTGCTAGGGGCCAGCAGGTGCCATGATGGTTAAGGCGTTGGACTACCACATGGCTGACGAAGGTTCTAGTCCAGGCCTGGCAGTTTGCTTTCTCACTTTTCCTCTGGTAAGTGCATATGCCCTATAGCAAATTTAAAAATAATAATAATGATAAATAATATAATTCTTTTTTTTTTTTTGTTTTGGTAGAGATTTTTGCTGTAGGGCACATGCACTTGCCAGAGAGACAAAAAGTGAGAAATCACCCTACCCCTGGGGAGAATGGCCACACCACAATCCCTTCTTCTCCATTCACCTCTCTGGATCTTGGACACACATGCACATATGCCTGGCATGAGTTTAAGCCACCAAGTCTGGGACTCAAACCGTGGTCAACTGTGGAGTCCAGTGATGTAACCATTATGCCATTTGCTGGTCCCAATAAAATAACTCTTTTCTTTTTTTAGAAAGATTTTTGTTGTAGGGCATATGTGCTTGCCAGACTGATAGAGACAGACAGAAAGTGAGAAATCACTTCCTGGGGGGATGGCCGCACCACAGTCCCTTCTCCTTCATTGTCCTCTTGGGATCTTGGGCACACACACAGACATGCACCCAGGGTGAGCTTTAAGCCACCAGGTCCAGGACTTGAACTACAGTCAACTACATGGGAGTCCAGAGAGGTAACCATTATGCCATCTATTGATCCCTCAGCAAAATAATTCTTAAAAAATAAAAAGCCTTCTGCGTTACACACATCACGGCCCCTTGTACACACCATGGCCGCCCCACCTCTAGTTGGCACATTTTCTCAGGTGCTTCATCTAACCTCCTGTTGTTTTGTTTCCTTCATGGCCTTCCAGTGGCAGCGTGGAGGCGGAAGGCAGTGAAAACGATTATCCAGACCCTAGGCCTAGGCTACTCTGTGCTTACGCTTTAGCTATTAAGAAAATTTTAAAAAGTGAAAAGATAAGAATCAGTTTTAAAAACTAGATAAAAGCTTGCAAAATAAGGATATAACAAACGGAAGCGTGTTTGCACAACCTCACCTTGCTTTTGTGTGTTAAGTGATGTACTATTACCAAAGAGTCAAAAAATGAGGTGTGGCCCAGCAGCAGGGTGTGCACTGCTCACCCCGTGCTCCATGAGCCGGAACCACATGGGAGGCCTGTGTTCAATTCCTGGCCCAGTCTAAAGGCCGGTGTCACAGTAAATTTCCAGTCATTTCAGCACTTGGGGAGGCCCAGGCAGGAACACTGCAACCTGGTGAGACCCTACCTTAAAAATAAAACAATTGAAAGTTTATGAGCAGGCATGTCTATGGCCTGGCAGTTAAGGCAGCTGGGTCTCACATGGTTGACTGTGTGGGTTGGGTCCTGGACCTGGCGGCTTGAAAAACATGCCAGGCATATGTGCATGTGTGCCCCCAACTCTAGAACGAAGGCGATATGGAGGAAAAGAAATTGCGGCTCAACCGTGCCCCATTGGGGGGTGCTTTCTCCCTTTTCATCGGTCTTTCTCTTTCTATCGCTCTCTGGCAAGCTCACATACTCACTAGCAAAAATTTTTCTTTGTTTAGATTTTTTTCTTTTTTTTATAATTGTGATTTTATTTAATTTTATTTATTTATTTGTTTGTTTTTAATTTGACCAGAGAGGGACAGAGCAAGAGAGAGAGGGAGAGTGAGAAAGAAAGCCACCAGGTCCAAGACTCAAACTGCAGTCAGCCATGAGGAGATCCAGCATCCTTAACCTCCACGCTATCTGCTGGCCTCCTTTTTCTTTTTCCTTTTTTAAAATTTCCTTATCTTTCTTTTTCTTCTTTCTTTTCTCTTTTGTTCTTTCCTTTTCTGCTATAAAGTGCATGTGCTCATCAGAGAGAGACAGAGAGAGAGTGAGAAATCACCCCCCCACACACCGGGGGATATGGCCTTACCACAATCTCTTCTCCTCCAATACCCTTTTAGAATTTTGGGCACACATGCACATGTGTCCGGAGTGGTTTTCAAACTACTGGGCCAGGGACTCAAAACACACAGTTGTCCATGTGAGCACCAGCTGCCGTAACCCCGGCCCACTTCGATGTTCCTTTGGTTTGTTTAGGTTTTTGACATAGGGTATGTGTGTTTGTTGGAAAGACAGAGACAGAGAAAAACAGAAAGAGGGAAAGTGAGAAATCATCCCCGGGGTTGGGGGGATGGCCCCGCCACAGTCCCTTCTCCATTCTCCTCTCAGGATTATGCGCACGCATGCACACACACCAGCATGATTTTCAAGCCACTGGGTCCGTGACTCCAACCAGTCAGCCATGTGGGAGTGCAGAACCTCAACCCCTCTAGAACCTGCTGGTCTCCTCCTCAATGTTTCTTAATCATACTTCCATAAGATGAAAAACCAAAACAAACTGATCCTAAAATATTAACCATAGTGAAAGGTTGGCAAATAACACATAGACTCAAAACAGGAATTGTTATTTCAAAGAGGAAAAGGGGGAGAGAAAAGAAGAGAGAAGACAGGATGGGAGGAAAGCGGGGAGGGACGGGGCCTGCCCGACAGCCCTTCAGTGCTAATTCCAGGTCCGCAGGTGTGAACATGTGATTGTTCCGGAATGCAGGCTCAGACCAGAACTGAGGCAGGGCTGCAGGTTCAGACGCTCCCGGCTTACCTCCGGATGGCCCAGGACACGGTGGCGTAGACGGAGGAGGCGTTGGCCAGCTCCCTGACCAGCGCTGCCCGGTGGGCGGGGCTGATACCCCACAGCAGGCTGGCCTGGCTTTTGACCTTGGCCAGCACGATGTCTTCTGGCCTGTAGTTCACGAGAAACTGCATGGCCGGCTGGGGACAGACAGAGGGGGGAGCATCAGGCACGATATCCTATCCCAGTGCCTTATCACTTTAATAACGGCGGCTTTATAAGGTTTTCAGATCTGGTAGGACCGTGGGGACAAGAAGAGCTGGACGCCCCAGCTTGGCTTGGGAGGCACTCACAGGGTGGAGGGCATAGCGCTCGATCAGCTGGTCGTAGTCGGCATCGGAGAAGGGGACCAGGTTCTGCTGCTGTGCGTTCATCGAGAACAGGGTCTGGGGAAAGGGGTGCGCCTCAGGAAGCTGGCCTGCACTGGCGTGGGCGCAGAGGGGTGCAAGCTGCCGCGTCATGCTCCAGGAGCGTGTGTCCTTGGGCGGCACGGGTCCAGCCAGGCGCAGGAGCTGGGAGAAGCTGAGGTGCCCAGAGCCCAGACACAGAGAAGGGACTTGGGTCTCTTCTCTGTTGAAACTGGCCAGGGAGAAGGTGGGAAGGGTATGTCTAGGCAAAGGAATTGCAAGAACAGAAGCTTGGAGTCCGGCCTGAACGCTGGGCCCTCCTCTGGGGACGGCAGGTGGAGGCTAGAGGCTTCAGACTAAGGAGCAGGAGCTGGGACCCCACCCTGCCGACCACAGCGCAAGGACAGGTGGCCCCTCCTCACTGCAGCCACCTCGTAACCATTGATGGCGACCTTCACAGACACATCCAGGGGCTGGTTGGTCACGCCACCCACCGTCTTCAACAGAGACATGAAAACCAGGGGGAACCACATGAGGGAGACCAAGGCGAAGGCGAGGACGCCCCCGACTCCATACTTCACAGTCTTCTTCTTCTTCTGCCCAGGAGGCTGCGGGTACTTCTGCAGAAGAGGGGCAGGCCGGTCAGGGCCATGCGTAGAGCCAGACCCTCACGGCTCGGGGGGCAAGGTGGCAAATGGCCTTAAAAGCTGGGGCGGGGGGAGAGCCAGCAGATGATGTAATGGTTGTTGCTGCACTCCCACATAGTGTACCACAGTTCGAATCCTGGACCCAGTGGCTTAGAACTCACACCGGGCGCATGTGTGTGCGTGCCCAAGATCCCGAGAGGAGAATGGAGGAGAAGGGATTGCGGCATGGCCATCCCCCCTGGGGGGTGATTTCTCGCTTTCTGTCTCTCTGTCTCTCTCTGTCTGTCTGGCGAGCGCACGCGCCCTATAGCAAAAAC